TCAACTACGGTTGTGTGCGACTCCCCGAAGCTGAGACAGACGATACTGTTGCGCCGATTGTCAAGAGACAAAAGACAATCGCTGTTATAGGTGCTGGTATCTCCGGACTGGGTTGCGCTAGACAACTTGAGGGATTGTTCAGGCAATTTGCTGATCGCTTCCATGAACGAGGCGAGCCTGCGCCTCGAGTGGTTGTGCTCGAAGGACGAGCCCGCGTGGGAGGAAGAGTATACTCTCGTGAGTTCCAGACCAAACCGAAGGAAAAATCACCAGGTTTTGTAGGCAAGCGACACACTGCGGAAATGGGCGGCATGATCATCACTGGGTTCGACCGGGGAAACCCTATCAACATCCTGCTTCGTGGACAATTGGGACTTCCTTATCATGCACTGACGGCCGACACTACAATCTACGACAGCAGTGGAAGAGCAGTTGACCCTGTACGCGATCAACTCGTTGAAAAACTTTACAATGACTGTTTAGACCGGGTCAGCGAATACAAACATAAAAATCAACTTGCAAAACTTGTTGAAGGTAGACGGGACCTCATCGAAGAGGGGCGTGATAGTCCTGGAGACGGTAGCAAGACAATGTTTCAGGAAGAAGAGGCTGCTGCTGCACAGCAAGATGCACCACCAGTAGCACTACAGAACATCCCAGCAAAGGTCAACCTGATACCAGTATCGTCAGACAAGCTCACGGGTCGGGTTCATATGGAGCCTGGCACTCCCGCGACTACTAAAGCCTCCGACAAAGCAAAATTGATGGGCTGGACAATACGAGACTCAGCCGACGGAGAGAACATTGATTTAACATCGGCAGTGAATGAAGAGGGGGCAACCTTGGGGTCTGTTCTTGATAATGCCATTTCCCAGTACAAACAAATCATAGGGCTGAATGCCCAGGATCACCGACTGATCAACTGGCACATTGCCAATTTGGAGTACAGTAACGCTACAAGCTTGCACAACCTGAGCCTCCCATTGTGGGACATTGATGCAGGTAACGAATGGGAGGGAAGCCATACCATGGTCGTGGGCGGTTACCAAAGTGTGGCTCGTGGCTTGGTTCACTGCCCAAACTCACTTGACCTCAAGACTAAATTCCCGGTCAAGAGCATATCCTACCATACTGGAGAGGGCATGGCGTCAGCTGCGATTGAATGCGAAGACGGCTCAGTAGTGGATGCTGATGCCGTGGTTTGCACTATTCCGCTCGGTGTTCTAAAACAGAATAATATCGTCTTCAATCCACCTCTTCCGTCGTGGAAGACTGATGTCGTTGAGCGACTTGGATTCGGCATTCTGAACAAGGTCGTTCTAGTGTACGATAAAATTTTCTGGGACCATGACAGGCATATCTTCGGCGTCTTGAGGGAGTCTTCAAACCGACTTAGCACCTCACAAAAAGACTATGCCGCGAATCGTGGTCGCTTTTTTCAATGGTTCAACGTATCTAACACGACAGGTCTTCCTTGTCTAATTGCTCTGATGGCAGGTGAGGCTGGTTTTGAGACAGAACATTCAAGTAACGACAGCCTTGTGGCTGAAGCCACGGAAGTCCTACGCAGCGTCTTTGGCCAGGATGTTCCCTATCCTGTAGAGGCCATGGTCACTCGCTGGGGTTCAGATCGATTCGCACGAGGTAGTTATTCTTCTGCTGCTCCCGGGATGCAGCCAGAAGACTACGATGTCATGGCCAGACCGGTCGGAAACCTCTTCTTTGCTGGTGAACACACCATTGGCACGCACCCAGCCACGGTTCATGGGGCGTATCTTTCCGGCCTAAGGGCAGCTTCTGAAGTGTTGGAGACCTTGATCGGCCCCATTGAGGTTCCGACACCACTGATACTGCCTCGAGACTCTGTGCTGCTGCGCAAGCGTAAGGAGCCTGCCCAAGATCAGCAACCAGCGCGACTCCAGGCCTATGAAAACGAGATTCAGATCTATATACAATCGAAGCTTGGGGGCCGACCATCTCGTCCGGCTAAAGTTGCGGGGAATGCGTATATACTTTATAGCAAGGATCTATTCGACGTTGCGAGGAAGAAGTGTGAGGAGAATCGGAAACCAGGGAAAGGCGGGCGTGCTGTCCCCAACGAAGTTCGGATCATGACTAGTAAGATGTGGAGGGACGCTTCGCCCGAGCAACGCAAGCCATATGAAGACCAGGCAACCGAGCAGAAGCGCGGGTACGCTGAAGCTGTTCAGGCATGGACCCGAGCTACTGAACGATGGGATCAGGAGGCCGCTGCGCTGCGAACAGCTTACGAGAAAGAGAATCCCTTTGGTACCGCCAAGATAGCAGAGATTCCTCACGAGAGTTCCAGCAAATATCGCAGGACGAGACACATAAGTTATGCGGAGGACAGTGACATTGGGCTCTGAGATTTGCTTCGACACACTCCATGCCCTCTCGATTAGGTGTTGATGGCGTTTCTGGTTTCTGTGACTTACACTTTAGAGGCCACTCCGTTTTGGTTGTTGATTATTCTCAAAATATAATAGTATCGGTATTCGGCGTTTTCAGACGAGGATGGTCGACTTATAAGTTGTACTTAAATTCATCCAAGTTTTTACAATGAAATTCCTACTTCCGCTAACAACCATCGAGAGATAGTGTCTGTTCTGTGGTTCTTTTTTTTTTTTTTGGACTGCCGTGCATTGACTGCATGGGCTACTAAGGAATTTATTGAAGGCTTTGATACAATGGGGGAAACCATATATGGATGGTGGCCCGATGACATTTGTTACAAAGGGAAGCATTACACCCCATCTTGTACTCCCACTCCTTACATGTCCGCAGAGGCAGTAGCACCAGTGATAATCTCAACCAGTTCTCCGGTGATGACGGCCTGTCGAGTACGGTTGAAGAGAATCTGGTACTTGTTGATCATCTCACCAGCGTTCTTAGAGGCGTTCTGCGGGAAATTGTCAGTACTAGCCACGAGAGTTACAACCTAGTGATACTTACATCCATAGCGTTTCGTCGGGCAGACTGCTCGCAGGCGTGGCCCTCAGCAAGAGCCCAGTAGAGGGAGTTGGCGAGACTGTACTCGCGAAGGTTGCCAAGAACCTCCTCGTCAACCTCAAAGGCAGAGAAGTTGGCTATGATTAAGAGTTAGACATATTAGCGATCAATTTCACATCCAGAGAAACTCACGGGACTGCTGGATAGCCTCCTCAGAAAATGCCTCAATCATGGAAGCCTCGTAGGTCTGAGCGTTGACGAAGCTGTTGTACAGAATCTTGATATCGGTGTACTCAGTAGGAAGCTGAATAACCTGGTCGGCGATGGCCTGGGCGTCGGCAAAGGTGGGAACATCCTTTCCAATACCAGCGAAGCTCAGCTGGATAGCTGAGGCGTTGGTTCGTGAGAGCTGAGCCTTGGCCTTCTCACCAATGAGGACGAGGTCGAAGCCAGGCTGCTCGGCGTGAAGTCGGCGGACATATCGGGACAGACCAGAATGAATACCACCGCAGAGACCCTTGTCGGAAGAGCAGACGATGATGAGGGTCTTCTTGTCCTCAGTCTCGAGGGCCTTGGTCTCAGCGGACTCGTAGACCTCATTAGAGGTCTGACCGTACTTGCGAGAGTCGTTCATGGCGCGCTGGGCTCGAGTGAGCTTGGTGGAGGCGACGATCTTCATGGTGTTTGTGATCTTCTCGATGTTTCGGATGGACTTGAGACGGTCCTCGATCTCACGGAGAGTCGCATAGGTGGCAGCGGAGCTGGGGACGGCGGCGGCCCTGGAAGCGCAAAAAAGGACATCATCAGCATTTTCCTTCTCTTTTGTTGCTTTTTTCTCTCTGGCGATTAGTGGTGATGACAGTGTTGAGATATTCCCCTCAGAGCATTCAATTGCCTCTCATAATTTTATTGCAATTCGGTCGGTATTGGGCGGGCGTATGTACTTGCGATGATGTGGACGATGGTCGAGGGTTGAAGTGCTCAACCGGCAAACAAATCCTTGGACTTCCCGGCAGCCGAGAAAGAGCCACTGGATACTGAAGGGGAGACGGAAGTGAAGGAGGAGAGAAACTTACCGAGCATTAGCTGCGGCAGCAGCTCGGAGAGCTGGTCTAGCGGCTCGTGACAACATCGTGACTGAGGGTTAGGACGTAGAGAAAGAGCCTCTGCCAACGGTGGCCCAATTGATCGCGATATACAGATCAATTGATAGAGATGGGGTCGTGTAAGGTCGGAATATGAGGTGTATTGGTCGCTGCGGACTAAAGCATTCAGGTTTGCTCTCGCTATTTTCCCGGGTAAATTAGGTAGCCGACCGGAACTTCTAGGCGTTGTGCTTGTCCACCCTTACTTAGTACTACCAGTAATAAGGTATACACAGCTCCAGCAATGATTTGGTGTAGTCACGTGAGACGGTCTCCAAAGCTCCACTTAAGCCGCAATCGCCGCAACCTTTTTTTCTTACTGCATGCATGACTAAGGCAAAAAGCTCTTTAGGCCCCCCGTTTTCATCCTCTGTGTCGACTCTTTCTTATCCAATCATATAGCAGAGTTCTGCATTTAGCCCCATTACTGAGTCTCTGCAACTGCTGCGCAACACTTGGCTGAACCACTGAGAGCCAACGCTGCAGTGCCCACACTTACTCTGCCTGTCTTTTCACTCAGGTGCCTTGTAGGCCCAGTCCTTTCTCGCCTCGCCTTTCCGTCGCCGGGTCCGGGCCTGTCTTGGTCTTGGCCTTAAAGAAAGCAGGAACGCCGCCTCTCGACTTATTCTCCCCAATCCCATTGTTGCTGATTCCCTCCTCTTCAGCTTTCGTGAATATCGTCAAACGCACCCTCTTCTCCTACACAAGGCGTTGAGGGGATCATTTCCTCGCGCTTTTTCCTTCGATATTACGTTTTTCCTCCGTTTGCAGAGGCCTGTTCTTCGTTCTGCCACGCTTTCGCATCTTCAATCCCAGTCCCTGACCTCATTGTACTTTGGTAGGCGACCAGCCACAGAACGGAAACTTGCCTTGAACTTCACAACCATGAGTTACAGCTCTGACGACGATCGCCCTCTTGCGAGGGCCAACGGCCATAGACGTGAGTTGTGTTTTTTCGTCAATTATCATGCTGCTTTGCTGGATTTTGTTCCCGCGCTCATGGGTCCTCATCACGTTGGCGTTTTCAAAACAAAGTTTAGCTACAACACCGCCTATCTCGCGCATGCTCTTGCTGGTCCCTATTCTAACACAAGCGTTTCCTATAGTCTCCTCGTCCAAGATTTCTCGTGCCGAAGATGATGCTCTGGATCAGCCAGTGTCCAAGCAGGCTGCTAAGATGGCTGGTCTGTCCGTTCGCAATGGTCCTCTTGAAGACGCAATGGACATCGATGAACCGGCTACCAACGGAGCTAGCAAACGTAAATCGCGTACCTCTATCAGCAAGGTCAACTACAAGGACGATGAGTCGAGTGATGATGCTGCCCCTCTGGTTCGTATTCATGACACAGGAAAACCCTTCCTGTGGGGCCAGGTATGCTGACGATAGAATTGCAGGCCAAGCGGCAAAAGAAGCAAGCCAACAGAGTTCCCGAATCCGACTCCGACTCCGACGATGAACCCATTGCAAGAGCCCGAGGAAAGAAACTCCCCCCTTCCTACGACGAGACTGCCTTGCCCGAGTCCTCTGGAGACGACGACGAGCCCCTTAGTGTGAAGCTCGCGCAAAAGAAGCGCGACATGGAGAAGGAAGCTGAGAAGCAAGCCAAAGTCATACGAGCCAAAGAAAGAGCCAAGAAGCCTGCGGCAAAGAACGCTGTCAAGGATGAGTCCGACGACGATGTCCCACTTGCAAAATCCTCAGCGAGTAAGCGTCGATCTAACGGAACTGCTGCGAAGCGAAAGTCGAATGGTGTCAAGAAAGAGGAGTCAGATTCGGATGCGCCCATCTCCAAGAAGGCCAAGGCTAAACCGACCTCATCTGCCAAGAAGGCCGTCAAGGCAGAATCCAAGAAGGCCAGTGAGAGTGAGGACGAAGATGAGTATGCTTGGTGGAACGCACCAAAGAAGGAAAATGATGATATCAAGTGGACAACTCTTGAGCACAATGGCGTTCTTTTCCCGCCTGACTACGAGCCTTTGCCCAAGCACGTCAAGATGCTCTACGATGGACAACCAGTTACTCTTGCTCCCGAGGTTGAAGAGGTTGCCACCTTTTGGGTTGCCATGATGACTCCTGCATCCTCCCATCACCTAGAGAACCCTGTTTTCCGCAAAAACTTCTTCGAAGATTTTAAAGAATACTGCGACAAGTACGGTGTTAGAGATGCACAGGGAAAGAAGGTCGCCGTCAAATCGCTCGAAAAATGTAACTTCGATAAGATTTACGCATATTGGAGCGAGAAGGTGGAGCAAAACAAGTCCAAAAACATGACCAAGGAGGAGAGGGAGGCTGCGAAGGCGAAGAAGGATGCCCTTGAAGCCCCCTTCACTCACTGTTTATGGGATGGTAGAAAGCAGAAGGTTGGCAACTTCAGAGTCGAGCCTCCCAGCTTGTTCCGTGGACGTGGTGAACATCCCAAAACCGGCAAAGTCAAGCAGCGTGTCCAACCCGAACAAATCACCATCAACATCGGCAAGGGTGCCAAGGTCCCCGAACCTCCCAAGGGACACAAGTGGAAGGCCGTGCAGCACGACCAAAAGGCAACCTGGTTAGCCATGTGGCAGGAAAATATCAACCAAAACTACAAGTACGTCATGCTTGGAGCTGATAGCGATATCAAAGGCCAGAGTGACTTCAAGAAGTTTGAGAAGGCACGGGAACTCAAAAAGCACATCGACAGGATTCGCAAGGACTACACCAAGGAGCTTAAGAGTGAAATAATGGCAGATCGTCAACGAGCCACTGCCATGTATCTGATCGACAAAATGGCACTTCGAGCTGGTAACGAGAAAGACACAGAAAACGAGGCCGACACTGTGGGTTGCTGCTCTCTCAAGTACGAGCATATCACACTTGAACCTCCAAACAAGGTTACATTCGATTTCCTCGGAAAGGACAGTATTCCGTACAGGGAAACTGCCATTGTTGAGCCTCAGGTCTTCAAGAACCTGAAGCTTTTCAAGAAGGCGCCCAAGACTACAGGAGATGATCTCTTCGACCGCCTCAACGTCAGTTCCTTTTCTTTCCTTTTTTCCCTTTTCGTTGTATAAGAACTTAGATGCTGACAGAATTACAGACGGCTCAGCTGAATAGGCATTTGACCGGCTACATGAAAGGTCTGACCGCCAAGGTTTTCCGTACCTACAACGCTTCCTGGACAATGTCAGAACTGCTCAGGAAGCTCGCTTCGGATCCTCGCTCCCGCGGCACAGTTGCTGAAAAAGTAAAGCTGTACAACGACTGCAACCGCGAGGTTGCCGTTCTGTGCAACCATAAGCGAACCGTTGGTGCTGGGCACGAGCAGCAAATGGCCAAGCTTGGTGACAGAGTAAGTCTGACTTGTGTATAGGTCGACCACGCCAGATACTGATTCTTTTCTAGATTAAAGGCCTCCGCTACCAGCAATGGCGTACAAAGATGATGATTCTCGATATTGAATCTAGTTACAAGAAGAAGAAGGGTGCCGCCTGGTTCGAGAGGGATGAAGAATTAAATGACGAGTGGGTCAAGGAACACCAGCAATTCTTACTTGAGGAGCAGCGTACAAAGATCACCAAGAAATTTGAGAAGGACAACGAAAAGCGCAAGGCGGACAAGGAGAAGCCTCTTCCCGAGAAGGAGCTGAAAGAACGTCTTCAGGCTGTTAAGGAGATGGAGGCCAAGTTCAAGAAGGAGAACAAGACCAAGAAGGTTGAGGCTGAAGGCAGAGGCGTTACTGTCGACAAGCTTCTAAAGGCTGTGGACAAGTTTGATGAACGCATCAAGACGCTGGAGCTTCAGGCCCAGGATCGTGATGGCAACAAGGAGGTAGCCCTCGGCACCTCAAAGATCGTGAGTACCACCGAAAACATGTTGAAATTCGTTGGCTGACTTATTATTCGTAGAACTACATTGATCCTCGCCTTACAGTGGTCTTCTCCAAGAAGTTCGACGTTCCTATCGAAAAGTTCTTTTCCAAGACTCTTCGTGACAAGTTCCGATGGGCCATCAAGTCTGTTGAGGATGAGGATGACTGGACCTTCTAAGTTCTCCGTGAGGGTGTTGGCGTATAAAAAGAAAAGTGCAGGAGGTTCTTGGTTCTATTGCTTTTATACTAATTTGCTTGCTTTTTTATTTCTTGGAAGTTTTGTAAGAATACTCGGATATTGCTTTCGGCATGAGCCAGGGCGAGGATAAGGAGACAAGAGGAGAAAGGACACCGAGCGAAGCGCGAGCTCGCGATGTTCTTTTTGGGTGCAGGGTGAACGGCTGTAGAAGGCAGAAGGCAGACAACGAAACTCGCAGGCGCTGAGATGGGTTTCTCGGAGCATATAAGGGGGTTGTTGGCGGCAGAGATTTTAGTATCATAGAAATCATACCTATAGAACAAGCACTTTGCATGCTATTGGAGTTTGGTGGCCTCTGGGAAGGGGTTGACTCCATCCATGGCTCTGCTGAGGCTCAAGCATGGACGAGAGGGGCACGATTCTGATACTAGTGCTATCTTTTTCAAACATTTGTATGACCAGAAGAGTGTGTTTACCATTTTGGAGTGTATCGGTCCTCGTAGAATATGTATTGTATGTTGGTTCTTTCATTATACACCGCCTGTCTATCTCATGTTTGCCATGTGTCTATTCTTTACAACCAAATGTATTGCGCCATCGCTAAGAGCAATATGTCAAACCCATATATCAACCAATCGCAACTCAGTGCCCCCAGTTCCAGAAACGCCAACCAACCGTGCCATGTAAATAAAGCATCACATCCATACATACTCGGGGTGTTGTCTAGAAGTCATGATATGTCGGTCAATGTACATGAGCCCAAACCCAGGACAAAACATGCTGTCGAATCGTAATACATAGGTCATGTACCGTGAAGTGAAGTCAAGGTGTTTCTTCTCTAGAAGAAACGACCAGCAAATGTCATGATGCCAGCCAAGAAGGGTATAACAGCAATAACGCTGTGTAAAGGCTGAAGAACGAAGGCGCCATTCTCGGCGGGGATGATTTTCCCCTTGGCGTTGAGCCTCCAGCCTTCGGGGATAGCTCCACCAGAGGGTCGGGAGCCAGTCCAGGGCCATCCCGTCTGTGTAGCTGTAGCGGGACTTCCGTCCTCGGCGATACCTCCGACAGGAACGTTTCCATCTGCTGTAGCGACAGTTCCTTGGGCGGTAGCAGTGACGGTCATTGCATCGCCGTTTTCGTTGCCGTTGATCTCACCGCCGACAGATTCGATTGACTGCCAGGAGCCAGATGTGTCCTTGTATTTGTACTCGTCACCAGTTGAGTAGTCCGTGACAACGACACTCTTGACCTTCATGGTGAAGGGACCTTTGGAGTAGTCTGTCGGTCCACGGGCCCATTTGACGGTGCCTGCGGAGTTTGTATTGGGGTCACCACCAGCCCAGGCGCCAAACTTGACTTGCATCGGAGTTTGAGGGTATTGATTATCCTCGGCGTCGCCAGCGTTGAGGGTTCGGACGACAGTGCCGCCAGCCATCCAGACGATGCGATCCTTGGTCCAGTCGATGGTGTATGTAATCCACTCGCCCTGCGTGTTTGTCACGTCGTGAAACTCGCCGCGGTTGTAAGAGGTCGTCTGGCCCTTTCCAAAATAGTTTGACTGGATCTCGTCATTATCGGAGCCGAGCCATTCAATGTCGATCTCGTCGAGCACGTCGGACTGGAGAACGAGCGACGATACGATACCGGCTCCAGGAGCAGCCTTCATCGTGATCTCGACGCGGCCGAACATGATGTAGAAGAGGGATGCCAGCTGCGGCGCGTCATTGGCGCGGGCGACGGTGAAAGAGACGCCCTCGCTGTCGTATTTAGGCGATCCGGAGGCTGCGAAGGAGTTCACCTCGCCTTTGGAGAAGTCGATGTCGATGCTCATGCCGAGGGCATCGTCGCTGGGACAGTTGCCTACAAGTGTCTGGTTAGTGGGATGATGGGGTTGACTGGTGGATAAAGTGTGCGTACTGTTCTGGAGAGGATTACATTTGCTCCATGTCTGGGCTGAGACTGTGGTGGCAAGCAGCACTGTGGCTGCGGTCGAGACTCTGGATATCCATCTCATGTTGGGCTGTATGTGCTGTGGTGGGTAGGTTGTACGGAGGTGAACAAGTAGTTTCGAAAAGTCAACGTCGTCGATATGAGTATTATTCTGTTCTTCAACTCGTCTCGTATCGTTTTATCGTTGTATCAGTACTCGATAATGCGTAGTAGTAGTAGTAGCACAAGGAAACAGACTCGAGGCTTATGGTGATTGTTAGTGTAAGGGGAGGAAGAAGTGGTGAAGATGCAGGTTCCCGCTCAAGGCTAAAAAGCGAAATATTACGAGCAAAGACAAGACACGTCACGTCACACGCTTGGCATTGGAAATCTCAACGCTCACCGTTTTCCGGTTTCTTCTTGGGCTGCCGCGTAATAGCAATTGGCCCCGTACTTGGTTGTTTTGGCGCCCAAGGATGATGAATTGGGAGGTTGGGAGCGTTTCTTGTATGTAGATATTGGGATATTAGTGCCGTACCCAATTCCGTGCTGCCGGGTGGCTGGGAAATCGGGTGGCTGGGCTGGGCCGGCCCGTGTGGCGCTACGGGATCCCGGCACCGTTGTTGAAAGTTTGATTACCCTGTACCGCAGCTGTGTCTGGTCCCATGAGCTGATAACTGGTATCACCCACCCACCACTTGACATTCATAGATGATATACGGACGAGTCCAGCGTTGCTAGGTTCATGTATTAACCTCGTCAATCTTCTCAATAGCCTTGTAATGCATCGGCATGGTATACGTGTCCAGGTCCTCACTAAAAGAAGTAATTTAGTGGCCGTCAAGTTTTACACCTAAAATCTCGCCATGATCTGTTCACAGTATACGACCCTACACTAATTCAAAATCGTGATGTTAACGTTCGTTACGCGCCTTCTCAGTGTCGGCCTCAACCTCAGCTTGTACGGCATCAAGAAGAGGAAAAGGTGGTTTGTTTCAGATAAGCAGGACAATATCTCCCGCACATATCAACTACGCGAATCCTAAAATACAAGCTGCGCAACACGACTGAGGGTCATCTAGGCTAGGCTGGTCTCTCACTGATCTCGATCGTTGTAACGGCATGCAACGAAACATCCCTTGCTGAAGTCTAAATCGACATCACTCAATCAGAATCAATCGTCAAACTACTGGCATGTTAGGGCTAGATGTTTTGTCTCACGGAACACTCTAAAATGCGCGCCCTCGCATAAAGCGTACAGCCACAACCACTCTATCCAGACCAGATCCAAGACCTACACGTGTAAGCCATGTCGCAGATCAGATCAGCCCTTGCATCATCTCTGGCACCATCATCACTCGCATATAAGCCTCCATACCATCCCTCCCTCTGCCACGGAATTTGCTGGAATGGTACAGATTGCTTGTCTGCCCAAGTCAAGTACCCTACACCCTCCATTTATGAAATCATCGCGACTGGGATGACATAGACAGAAGTGCACTGCACCACCTACACCGACAGCAGACTATCGAGTCACCGACATTTTGACCACCCAGCAAGTTGGGGGGGGAGGGGGGGGGCGGAGTAAAAGAAGAAAGTTGACGAGGAGAAAGACGAAATTAGTAAAACTCCCGTATCGACAAAAACTTTGCTTCCCTCGAAAAATTAAATACAAAGTACGTAGCTGCTACATGTGCTAAACTGGGCCGAGTCTAAGCTCCCGGGTGAGACAAATAAGCAAAGCATTCTGAATGCGAGTGAGCCAGAAGAGACATAGAGAAACAGAAAATCAAAAGAGCAAAGGGCTGAACAACACTCACCTGACCCAACGACAGGATACATACAGTACTGTATCCGTAGATAGATGATCAATTCCAGTCCGTGATAGATACATACCCTATATGCCAACTCCATTATGCGTCTGCTATGTAGACTAGGTGCGGAGCATTCATGACAGCATTTCACCACACAAACGCTGCCCTCGCATATGCAGGCTATGCAGGTCCAAAATCTGATCCACGACCTGTCAGCAAAGAAAGGCAAGCGCCCAATCAACATCTCCAGGTCCTCTGTGAAAACCTTTTTCAAAAGATCTTTTATGTTATCCCTCGCATATATCACAAGTGATCGCCATTCTACGTACAGTACGTCGCGTCTGGTGGGCATATATAAACATTCCCGACGGTACAGAATCCTTCCCCCGTGCTCCTTGCACTCGTCGGACCCCGATTGATTGACCGTGATCCCTTGCTTCTCTTTCCGTGCCTCGCCGCCACATGAGGCCATTCGGGGATATTCCTCTCTCTTACTGCTTACATATCCCGCAGTGAGAGACAGTCGATTCCCCACCCTCGCATACCGGCCTCACTACTTCTCGAGTACTGCATGCCCTAATAAACCCACAGAGAGAGAGAGAGAGAGAGCACTCCCAAGTTGCCTTGCCTGCACTGCAGGCTATAGAACCAAACATGTATCAAGACGAAGCTGCTTGGCTCGGTAGATTCAAGTCAGTGTGCACATCGGCTGAACAGTCGACAAAGCTCGACATGTCGTGCAAGCTGTGGAGGCATGCAATAGTTGATGTTGAAAACCTAATTTACATCATTGACACATCTGTGTTATGTACTGAACTCGAGCATTTGACGTCAAACGCTCACTTGTTCGACATGTTTCAGACATCCACTCGGATATATCCAACGCTTTTTTTCGTCCCCTCGTCATTGGTTCGATCGTTTCATCTTCAGCTGAGCAAATCCAAACCTTTGTCTCGGCCTCGTGTCATGTTCCGTTTCTTGCCCCTCAGCCTACCAGTATACTGTTGAGGGCGAGGCCAAAACTGACATTCTCCGGGCACGCGACATGCATTATTAGACACAGTCCGTGATCCGTGACCGCTTCATCCAGGCAAGACTTGCTGGTCGGGACATGATAGGACCCTCATGGTCCATCAGAGGTCCAAGATGCATAACCATGAGAATTGCAAATGGCCCTCGCATAAGTCAGTCATATGTAATGTATCACATCATATGATGACATGTTGCGAAATAGCGATAAGAAAACGTGATATAGACAAAGAGAAAAAGAAAAAGAAAAAGAAAAGAATACTGAAAATGGTTAGATGAGGGAAAAGAGGGCACAGAAATGAGAGAGTAAAAAGCAAAAAAAACTTGAGGCAAAAGAGACAGCGAACCAGGACACGACAGAGAGCAGCGCAAACAGAACAGGGCAGGACAGGATAGGACAGGATAGGATAGCACAAGACAAGACAAAGCAAATAATTAGCCGATCAGTCCTCGGTAAGTAAACATGGTGAAGCCATAACTGAATCAACCTGTGGAGTGGGGGTTCAAAGTCGATGAATTGGTAATTACTCTGTATCTATGTCTGTATCTGTATCTGTATCTGTATCTGTATTTTTGCCGTCGCTCGCTCGTAATCATTACATATAGGTCATAATGATAGACTGTTATGCCGAAATGACACACCATCTCAGCTATCGGCATCATTAAACTTAGTCTGGGCATTGAGCCGTTGCCCTCAGACCTGATCAATCAGACTCAGACTCTTCCGGACCGCACCTCGTCCGTCCACCTCATACCGACGGGTTGGCCCGGAGCTGCCGTGCGCATCAAAATGGGTGGATAGATTTGTATGTACGGGATCTAGAGTACGTCCATCAGTGACAAACGATAACTAAAGAGTTTGCCATCTTATCCCGAGACTGGTAGTTATGGTTCGTCCGCGAATATCCCCAAGACCCAAGTCATCATGCTATTTTGAAATATTCGGGTTTCGCCACATTTGATTTGAATTGCACCGTCGTATCGAGCCTCCGCTTCGTCTCAGAGACCCAGGCAAAGGCATAAAGAACGTTCGTAAAGACCCATGAACTACGCACAGGCACGTCTGACTCTGACAGAGGCGAGCCATCAACGCATAGACGCATAATAAGAAAGAGAGAATCCTAGATTCATATGCTTGCTCGCCAGGGGTGGGACGGACGGACGGGCGGGCAGGCTCAGGCTCGGGCTCAGACTCAGACTCAGAGGTAAGGCAATCAATCTTCCACCCACCTACTCCAGGTACACCCATACCTGAGACAGACACTGCCCTTCCATGCGGTGTGAGAAGTGAGAATCAGAATGAGAATGAGAATGAGAGAAGAGGGACGTACTATGGCATGCACTCCGTACAGATAGAGATAGATAGAGGCAAACAGAAAAGGCTTGTAATGAGGTGACGAGCCGTTTCTCTTTTCTTTGCTCCCCCCGCCCATGCAATGGATGCTTGCAGGCTAGGCTATGGCGGTACGGTGTGTAGCAAAGTATCAATCCTTGGGCGTGATACCACCAGACGTTGAGCCCTTTTTCCTTTCTTTTTTCCCTTCCGATTGTCGGTAGTTGTCACATGAAAAGAGATGCCACCGGGTTCTGTTCCCGTCTTCTCACATCCTTGAAAATTTTGCTTCTTCTTTACTGTTGCTGATCATTGCAACACAGTACATCGCAAGCTAAACCATCGCCTCTTGCGCAAGGTATCAAGGCATGTATGTATGTATGTACGTATGTATGTATGCATGTTACTCAGTGATTGCTGCACACTAATGCATTAGTATGTATTAGTCGAGCGTCGCGTTCGTTCGGTTCATCAACTATAATGATGCTGAGAAATTGCGGACCCTCTACAGGTGCAACATCAAATTATTGTCCAACAAAGTGAGGCTGTTTGACTTGTATGTACACCGTAGCTATGTAGGTAATCCAACCTCTCTCGATCCATACCGAGCGTCTCATGAAGCAGGCATCCCAATTACATTCAATCCATCACTGCACATACTGATAGATTCAATTCACGCACGGAGCCTTGACCCCGACGGCATCTCAAGCTTGTTCCACGTGGGTTGGTAGGTTGGCAGCTTTCATCGAGGGCATGCCCAAGACCGTGCGGTGTCGGTTGATAAGGTTGGCGGAAAGGCCACCAGACTACTCACATTGACAGGCCGTGCTAGCATTGTTGACTGTTGTACCAAAGACCAAAGACCAAAGACCAAAAGCAAAGGCTTGCTGGATACGATTGAGGCAGAATCGCTGTTCTGTTGTGGCCTCTGCATCCGTATCTCGCTCGCATCACACGCACACCGGAAGGATCTATTGCCACGAGGTGGATTGTGCCTGATGTTGAAGCTTAAAGTGCTTCATCAACAGCAATGTACATTGTCTTGCATCAAACAAACCGTAAAAGAAACTTGCTTGACTCGGATGGACCGAGGCTCTTGACCTCCCGCTCCATACCTTCGTAGATCGTCAACATGGATTGATGGGAACTCAATCCGAACCAGTTCATCTTCTCGAGCGTCGAGGTGTGATCCTGCGCGATGCTGGGGTGCAATGTGAAACCTTCGAGAAGTCCCAAGGACATGGTCGGCGGAATGGCCAGTCGTCTTGGACAAGGTAGGTATTATTAGCGTTGGCTCCGGTTACTATCCAGTCAGGGGTACCCCGGCCACCAGCTGATTTTGAAATTTCTCCAGTCCTCCACACAGACGAGCAGTCTCATTTTATCTCTGTGCTATCACGCACTTGAGATGACTCGCGGTTGAGTGGGCCATCCATTCATATCGACTTTTATACATAGACGGAACAGTCAAATCGAATCGTCCATGTGCAACCATCACCACCAGCCAGGCACGTCCGATCCTGCATCACGGGTCTAGCCAGCCCTCTCTCTAATCAAAGGTCAGTCTGCGACTTTGATTTTGAGGAGCTGCGGGAGTGACAAGGCAACCCCACTAATTCTCATGCTGGGTGCATGAACGCATTGGACTGCCGGGTGTCCTGGGCCTGGCCTGGCTGGGGACGTAAGACAAATGCTGTTGATCAGTATCTGGCATTCTCTTACTACCCTCTGATAATTCAGGCATCGTCTCACACCGAACATCTGCCAGTCCACAAGGTTTGCCACGGCGACACCACCTTTTAGCAAAGACGAGAACCATGAGATGGCCTGGACGGGTCGCTCATACGTAGCCACTAGCATCAACTCATGATTTTCATCAAGCTGAACTATAGATTTGACTCCGGTCAATTAACACGGGACGACGACACTCTTTGGGACTGGCTAGCACCAAACCAAGTCAGGCACTGTCTGTATGTGAACAATCTGAGTCCTGAGAGGCGATCTTCGAGAATCATGCCAGTAAGAAGGGTCCGGGCTGAACAACCAGCATATTGATTCGTTCGAGACTGTATTTGGCGGGGCTGAAATCCGGGGAGCGTCCCAAAGGCCGGAGGACAGGGATCATTACAGCCTAAGTCTCCGGGGACCTTATCAACCAGACTGGCTGGCCACACGGCTACCTATCCGGGCCGTTGCCAAATCTCCAACGAGTCCCGCCAGTCCATCTCGAAACAGGGGACCCCTTGACAGTGTGGAACCACCGGGATACCCCTTGTTCGACCGCCCATCAGGGTCCCATCCCATCCTAGACGGTACGGTTGACCCAGACCCAGGTGAAGCCAAGCAACTCGCCTCCCAGAGACGCTGTGCCGGGACGTCACGATGGTATCGACAGATGTGCTGAGAGGTTTCATTGTGAGAATTTTTGAAATGCCCGCTCCTCTAGACGAACATCGGTGGCTAGTTTTGTCAATTGAATGAATACATTTTCAAGAGTATTGCGCCATGGCGGAAAGGCATTTGGGATTCCCAATGCGAGAACTTCTCTCGCAAGCCCTGGCAGCCGCGGACACGGATTCAGATTGCCTACAGTCTGGGGTGGTTAGGCGTACACAATTGGTAGCTCGCGGAACAAAACGAATCCAACACGCCGGATCCTCTCTTTTGCCTCGCTCTCAAACTGGTTAGCTCCCACTGATATCCAACTTGGCCAAGCTTGCACACCCGTTGCTGTACCAGGATGTCGACACCCGGCTCCGCGAGACCAGAGCCTGCCACTAGCAAGACGACGGAGCTGTCGATGCCCTCAATGTTCAGGGCTTGTGCCATCTTGTGGTCTCTGCACGACGGCGGTGTCGATAGCTTCAGAGCACGCTCTTATAGAAGCCTGTGAGGTGAAGAGAGTCTGCAAAAGGCCCACAAAGAGGATCAGTGGAGCTGATAACCCGAGCGAGCATACATATGTACATATATGCATAGGTACTGTAGGTAGTAGACTGACGGGCGGCCCAATAGCCCAAAACTCTTCAACGTAGTTAACGCAATCGAGTAGTCGCTTGCCACTGATATCATGCTTGCAAGTGGCCTATGGTGATTACTGGTTGCATTTCTGGGGTCCTCGCTTAAGATAGGCCACAATGATGCGCTGGAAAATCCTTTCGACTGGCCAGAAACCATGAACAGCGACGTTGTCTTGTACATAGCTGGTCGACGCAGTTGGTGATCTCTCTCTGATGAGCTATAATTCAATGTGATCTATCCGTAGGAATATGCGATGCGCCGCCCGCCTTTTAGGCAAAGGCAGGGCCTTGTTCTTTGGCAATCTGAGAGGTCTGAATATGTTTGTCTGTGGCACAAAGCAACACACTCTATCAAAACGGCTTGTAAGGAAACTGTTTGTGTGACAGCCGCAATTGGCCTCTCTTGTTCTTGTTCCTGCATAACGGTAGCGGTCGCTTGGGAAAAAGCCCTGCCTGTTATGTTTCTGCATCAGATAGGAACGTTGTCATGCAAGGTACCAAGAGTTGCCACCAATAAGTTGACATGGGCCAACGAGGGGGTCGCCCTACTAACGACAGTTACGACACGAACTCACCCACAAGAGCTGACCCGAGCTGTCAACAGATCCTTGAGGACCTAGCAGGCACCCCAGAATCGTTAGTTGTCCGGCTGTTGGAGGCCATTTTGATGAATGACATACTAATTACCTGAGACGAAAGATGAGATGCTCGGCTTTTATCAGGAGCATTGGGGGATGATGTGAGCCTCAGGTACTGTGCGAGGCACCTGAAGGAATTTGATCAAACGAAACAAATGTATTTGATCATAGCCTAAAGTCTGTGGCGGCTCCGAGTCGGCAGAAAGATAATGACGGGTGAAGATCTTCAGGAATCTGGCATGCGTAAGCGTCTTCGCAGAGAATAGTTCATTGAAACGTGTGAGGAGGTTTGTATGGCTCTGCAATTGGAGGACCGAGACTTGTACAGACGGACGAACATCGAGCGGGCGCTCGTATGCATAAGCACGCACAAGTACTGACCTAGGGACACAAGACCGAGTCCATCTTTGGGTTAAAACTTTGGATTGAGTAAATATGGATCCTCCTGTGCATGTGCGAGCTCAGGTGCTCGTGCATATGTGGCTTGCATCACGAAATGAGAAGTCGATTTGTGCCTTGATTGTGCATGGGGATGCATCCAATGTGCTTATTTGAGCAAGTGACCCATGCACTATTCCACATAATGGCATCCTCGTATGAACTGTTCCTGGCTAATGCAACCCCAAAGCATAGCACCACAGTCAGGCACAGCGACTTTGTGCATCAGCTAGGGTTTCAGGTTTGAGGATACCCTTATGCTGGCCAATGGGACACAACCCGAGGCTCTAGCCTGGCACCGGCAGGCGGTCACAATTCGGTCATGACGTTCATAATAGGCAAGGTTAGTATTTATTAGTTATTCACTACTCCATCTAGTTCGTACGTTGGTCCATAACGTCGCGTCCTCAAAGGAGAGGAGGTGATCGAGTCTAGTGGGTCAAACCACGGTTGGGTTTTTGACAGTGAGGCGGAAACACGGGCTGCACGGGCAGAAACATTCGTATCAGAGATACCCAACGGAAGCCGTAAGAAGGCGAGACAAGCTTGGAGGAGATCTCACGAGCTACTCCGTATTGTCAATGCCAAGAACGAACGTGTGCTGGATTTCACTCATGAATCGCGTGCAGTATATTCACCACCAAAGTGTTTCACCTTTCCAATAGAAGTTTGACGACTGAAGGGTTCCGCACCGAAGGTTTTGGGACCTTCTGGAACGTCAAGCTTCCGACCGAGGCTAGATAGAAGCCGGATTCTGGGGCGGTTCATCGCATGGTTCTGTACATTGACCTGCGGTCATGGAGCCTCATAAGCAACATGGCAATTGCTCCGTTTGGAGGCTGCAACAATTCGGGGACATTTCCGTCCGGGGCCAGGTGCCCCAGAGTATTGGAAGCCATGTACATACGTATGGACGGATATTACCAACATGATGCTTTCTGCTATAGCATTTGCTTGGTGCTTGGTTTGCTGGGGAGCTCAAACTACTGCCCTTTTCACATTCGAGGTGAAGTAGGTATGTAAGACATCAGGCGAGATTTCTCTCATTCAATTTGGATACCGAAGGGAAAAGGGACCCTGGTCCCGGCTTCCCGTTGAAGATTCATATGATCTAAATGGAGCTTTCGCTGCTGTGCCGATGCTCGTCTTGCGGGAAGAGGCGACCATTCATCGTTTCATGTAGATGCCATCAACAACGAGGGTGACACCCCTCGAGATGAGGTCAAAGTTGGGATGACAGACGCTTTGGCATGAGAGAGACTGTCGGGCGCAGCAGGGAATCGAAACCATACTATGTAGTTCCCGAACACCATATTAGAAGCCCGTGCTAGTGCAGATCTCGATCTGACCGGTTTTCGCCATGTGGCCTGCCTGATCTGATACCATACCTGTGTATTCTGACTCGCTTTGGGCGCAGTGGTGAGACGAACGATATCCAGCAAGCTGGAACAGGAAGGCACCGTTCTAGGCGAGTCAATTCTGGCTCTTTGACCATCACGGTTGCAACAAGCATGAATGTGGTGCCATTGTGACTGTTGTTACTGATGTGAAGTTGCTTGACTCGATGTCGTTGCCAACAGCCTATTGCAGTATGGCACAGATGACCGAGCTGCACTACCCAGCGTGCACTGGCTTTGTTCGTGCGCTCATGGCGGTTGGGAGAGCTGGGGAGCTGAATCTGTGGCGTATTTAGAGGACCATGGTGCTCTTGAACCGTAGGTGATTGGGGCATTGAGGTGGACCGTACATACATACATTCGGATAGAGGTTGAAGAGACAACTAACTGGAGCGATGGAGGCAGCCTGGCCTAGCGGGGCAAGAAAACAGCGAACCTTACTGTAGGGTGCCAAAATGAACTTGGCAAAAGTCATCCTAAACTTAGGCTATATTACCCTAAGTCTTTTTGTCATCCAGGATCGAGGTCCTGTGTTTTCTTTCCTCCCCTAGCCTGGGCAAGGCCCAGACGGCGAACAGGCGCATTTGAACGCCCAGGCCAGGCGGGACCAAGCAAGAATTCAAGACTCGATCGCATAGAACCTACCCAAGAAGGGACGGGAAGTTGCTGACAATTGGTCGGGTTGGGGGCCGGACGTCGGCCTCCAGGGTCATGGATTGTACGTGTGCACGCAGTGACGGGATGAGATGGATTCTGACAGTCTAGGCACTGACTGGCCCTTATCCTGGGCCGTGGTAGCTGGGCTCGGGGAGGAAAGAAAACTCAAGACCTTGATCCTAAATGACAAAAAGACCCAGGGTAATATAGCCTAAGTTTAGGATACCTTTTGCTGAGCTTATTTTGACACCTTATATTAAAGTCTGGTGTTTTCTTGCTCCCCGAGGCTGGGATGCTTCTCTGACGTTACATTTAGAAGCCGTCGCTGCTTCCATTGGACCCTTTGGCCAATTGACAGCCTATCACTACAAAGGACGGTTGGCTGGGTCATGCTTATCCTTGTTTGAACATGTCAAATTACTTTATCCTCGGGGAAGGCAGATACCAATTACTACTTTCGTTGGGTAAGGGTAGGTTCCTACCTAGTTGACGATCGCATGACTGAAGCAATGATATTGAGCCCTTCCATATACTTGATAGCCCCGACAGCATAATGGGGAGAAGCTTCGTAGAACAGTGGCCAACGATTAGTACCTTCGACTGAGTTACACCAGTGCAGCAGGCGACGTTCCTGGTACCTGAACGGCATAGCACTTACGCAATGCACCTTCAGCTTACCTACTAGATACCTTGGCTGTTGCCCATCGTCATACGCTATACGCAATAGATCGCACTGGCGCGCGCAGCGCCAACATCCTGGGTCATATGTTTGCTGGTGTTGCAGATAATGTAAGTTCAGCTGAGTTCAGGTACGAGATGCTAAGTTGCATTAGTGAGTCAGTCGCATGTATGTACCTACCTGATAGGTATTGCTTGGGCCCCTTGGTACTACAGTAGGTATGTAGCAGCTTGACCTAACTGGGTAGGTGCCGCTGGCGCTCCGTCCCGTCCAGTTTTTATGCAGAAAGACATTGGGTGATAAGACGTCTAAGAGCGCAACCGGGCTTGCCGCATAAAATTAATTCTCATCTGAACGGGGCTGTGTGGCCTTCCCAAGCCAGGTATTGACTATTATGGGCACCGATAACAGTTTTGGGTACAGCGCGGGCCAGTTTAGCGACTCCACACGATGATTGCTGGTCTTCTCAACCCCAACTTGTCGAATTTAGTGGCATCACTTCTATATTGAGCTGGTATCGTGGCTCGTTCCTCAAGCCCTTGACTCGAGGATGGACTTTGTCCGAGAAGGGTATCTTTACATGCTGACAACGAACTGTGATAGCATCACAGTGCATGATGTGAGTCAAGCAAGGCATGCGAAGTGACAGGCAAGAGGAAGTTATCACTATAGAGCCAAGAACCAACCAGGAACCCAAAGATGTCTAGCAATAAGCAATCCTATCAGACAGAGACTTGGATCTCGGACAAAAACTGTAAAACGGCAATGGGTCAGTTTGGCCAAACACCAATCACGCGTCCGTTTCTCTCAAGGTCTACCTACCTATTGTGTCATCAAAGGTTTGGCTTTCACTCGTTGTTTCAACTTCCAGCTACATTCAACCATGACCGATAAAGCTGTCCACCAACGAGGCACGCCGTACCATATCGTCATCTATACTCACGAGATTGTGTCCAACCAGAGACCGAAGCGGGCCAGTCGTCACCACAGGTTCCTTCTAACCTTGGACCATTCTACCAGTACGAAACAGCGGCGGCTGTTTTGATGGGATGGGTGACGTCGAACGCTCCACAGAGTCGAGTATGTATGTAGTCTGCCAGAGCCCGCGTCGAGGTGATCAGCCAACCTAACAGGTCTGGAGATGAAGCAAGCGTCGTCTGTACCTTGCATAGCACATCCAGAGATGCACCGGGTGGAGGTGATACAACATAGCCCGACGAATGGAAGCGTGCATATCGGCGCCGTCGACTGTGCAATGGCAAAAATGGATATGAGGAGGTGCACAACGTTGTTCCGAGTGGCCAGTTTTGGAGTTGTGCACGGCCAGGACCCATTAGGGACGTGCCCAATCCTCATTATGAACTTAGCATACAAGTTATTTATTATTCTGTTACAACGAGGCGCGGTGAGTCTAATGCACCTTGATGCATGGCGACTCGCCAAGGCACTATCCTATCAGTGGACGGGATTATGCAGCTTCTGTGACGCGGTTTGCGGTTTGCGTGCCACCTGGGGGTAGGGAGGCCGCTCAAAGCGAGTGGTATTGCACCATGGTGCGCACCTTGTCTAGGGTCATCGCATAACTCGCGGCGCGTCTGCCATCCTCGAGACCCCACTGGTTGATGGGAGCCCAAACAGATGGAAGGGATAAGACGAGGGATGGGAGAAATGTGCATTGAGATGTGCTCATCATTAATGGCGGCTGTGGTATTCATTCCGTTCGTCGGAGGGCTGGGTTATGCTGTGCTGGACTCGGGTTTGTGGGTGATGAACACACACATCACACACCAAGCGCGTACGCAAGCCAACCAACAAAAAGTCAAGAAGGGAAATATATGACAGACTAGGTACAGAAGAACGAGACACCAGACAAGAGACATGGGACTTGTGCACACTTGCACAGGTCTTGCACAAGCGACCGAGGACCCTCTATTGCAAGCTTTTGGCTTTTCGTGCCATCCCATCCTTCGATATGTACAAGCATCCACATGAACATCCATACCTTATCCACTACTTTATGGCCGAGCTCGTTATTCAGTCGGCGCATGGGTTGTTGCATTGGTGTACAAAGTTGGGACTGGATAGGCTTCGGGGGCTACTCTCATACCGCGGCGGGCCATCCGGCGACGGATAGACTCGAGGTTCCCAGCCGATACCGTCCAGAATTAGAAAAGCCAGTGGCTGCGCCATAGTGGTGTGGATGGGGAGCCGTGGCCCCATGGCCCGTTACTGGCAAGACAGGCGGACGACTGCCATGCCTAGTATGCCCATGGACTTGAGTTGAAGAAGACCAGGGACGCCCAGGCCCGCACCTCATGTTTCCCTTGCCCCAGACATGACTTGGGTGCTTTGACAGGGGCCTGGGGGCACTCTGCCGTCTGGTCCGCCGCTGGGCCCTTGAGGGCGTGTGTGGGCGTGGGACAGATTGCGAGTGACAGGCCTGTGAACCAAAGAGTGAGGGTGGTGGATCCAGAGAATGGGATGTGGTGGTGGTGGTGGATCACGATCCACAGCTCTCTGACCCTGGCTTGGTGATTGAGACACGACATGGAGGGTTTTCTAACTGACTGCCTATCGAGCACATCTGGTGTGAATACGCCAGGTCTCGTCGTCAGTACTTATCACTCCACGTCCCCGTGCTTGTCCATCCTTCGTTTCCCTCCTCATCGAAAGGTATGATCGACAACCGCGTCGGATCTCTGTAATACTCTCTTCTCTTTTATACCAGGTTCTTCCTTCTTTTGTGAATCGTTCTTATTTGCTGGATATCCTCGTTCCTCGAGAGTCCCTCACATTCATTATAACCACCTCTTGCGGCACTCTCGATATACTTGATAAATCTCTTGTTCTTGCTTCAACTTCCCTGGACTAGACTTGAGACCTTACATGTACAACAAGAACGTCCCCAACCTACGCACCTAATACCGAGTCTCAACTCGTCGTCCACTCTTTGGAACACCACAAAAGAACCGAACACCACACCTTCATTAGGCCGATTGCCAGTCAAGCAAACTATACAATACACCAATACCAACTTAATATCTAAACTCTCCAACCCGCTAACACCACAAGCAACTCTAAAGGTTTGTGGAATCCTGCAAATACCAGACAATGGATATGTGGCTAACACTATGGTCTTGTATAGAAATGGATTCCACAATGATGCCCCAGGCCGTCGGCCAAGCTCCCTTCTATTTCTACAACCCTGAGTCCAAGCATGATATGCGACAACACTTTGCCCAGCAACAAATGCATATGTATCCCATGGTTCCTACACTGCCTTCAACTCCTGTTTATTCGCGGCCCAGCTCAGCCAGCAACTCTCAGCCCCCCACTCTGTACAGCAATGGTCCGGCAGTCATGACTCCTACTGCCTCGCCACAGCCCATGTCGCATAAGCCCGCCATTTTGTTGGAGAATGAGCTGTACGAGAACTCGTATTTCCCTTCGACACCGCCTCTGTCGACCTCTGGCAGTACCATTGGCAGCCCCAGCGCCTGCGAGGTGCTCCAGACCCCGATGAACCCTATGTTTTCCGGGCTGGATGGCATCGATGGCTTCAAGGAGGCTCTCGAGCCTGTTGAGACTGCAGTGCTCGACTGGTCCAACTGCGGATCCCCCCCAATGACACCTGGTAAGTTTACTTTTATCTGAAAGCCTCCAATTACCGGATCGTACAATGGTATTGTGCCGCAAGCTCGGGCTGGAGCCTATTTTTGGGCCTGGTAGCGGGTAAGATGGTGGTGCTGACGTTGGCTGTCGCTATCTCAGCCCAATCACCTTCTGAGGCGCAGACCTGCAGTGCGCTGTCCCAGTACCTGAACAGTGGAGCAAACACGGGAATGACCTGATGGAGACTAACTTTGCATGATAGTGTACCTTCAATCTCAACTCGGCAAAGTTCCCTCTCTTAGCAACACTGCCAGCGACCTCGTGTCCACCCCGTCTCTGTCTCCCTCACCCGCGCCTTATGCCCGCTCCGTCTCTACACCGGATTTGGACGTCGACTTCTGCGACCCAAGGAACCTGACTGTCGGTACTGGTGCCATCAACAGCACCCTCGCCCCAGAATTCGCTCTCGACGAGATCAAGGTTGAGCCCAAGATTGCTACTCAGTCTTTTGACTTTAACCCTGCTGTTCCCCACGGCCTACCCACCTTTGAAGACTTTTCTGATTTCGAGTCTGAGGACGATTTCGTCAACAGCCTCGTCAATCTTTCTGAGCAGCCTGCTACTGCTTCTGCTGATATCACCCGACCTCGGGCTTGCACTGGCTCGTCAGTTGTTTCCCTTGGACACGGCAGCTTCATCGGTGACGAAGACCTTTCCTTTGACGACAACGAGGCTTTCCAGTTTCCCCCTCATCCCAGCCCTGTCTCCTGTGCGTCCGAGGACTGCCACAAGGACAAGCGTACCAAGAACACTCACGCCAAGGAGAGCACCGCTGGCCCTGTCATGAACATGGCTGCCTCCGCCACCCAATCTGGTAACACCCAGGAGTCTTCCAACCAGGCTGCCGAAGCTAGCGACTCTGCTGCCTCGTCTGGCTCAGAGGGCTCCCCTGCTCCTCTCCCTGCTCCTGCCAACCGCCGCGGTCGTAAGCAGTCTCTCACCGAGGACCCTTCAAAGACATTTGTCTGTGATCTGTGCAACCGCCGCTTCCGCCGCCAGGAACACCTCAAGCGCCACTACCGCTCTTTGCACACCCAAGAGAAGCCTTTCGAGTGTAACGAGTGCGGCAAGAAGTTCTCCAGAAGCGACAACCTGGCTCAGCATGCTCGGACCCATGGTAGCGGTGCCATCGTCATGAACCTCATTGATGACGACTCACACGCATATGATGGTTCCATGATGCCTCCCACGGCCGAAGATTACAGCAACTACGGCAAAGTCCTGTTCCAGATTGCCTCTGAGATTCCTGGCAGTGCAAGTGAAATGTCCTCTGACGAGGGCAGCGATCAGGGCAAGAAGAAGCGCAAGCGCTCTGACTAAATGGCCCATCAATCACACATCATTCAAAATGCTCAAGAAAGCCAGTCGATTATCTTGACATACGCCCGATACGACGCTGACGACCTTCTTCTTCTTCGGCCATCCGCTCAATTTTGACGGTGGCATTTGGGTCACGGAACATTTTTCCATTTAGGTTACAACCTTGGGTAAACGGGAGTCTTCACACACAAAAGAGTGCAAGCGATAATGAATGCATTTACACATCGTCACTATACCTGTATCAACAATATCCACAGCCTCACTACGTATCACGACAATAGGGAGGACATTTGATTTCATCGGTTTCTTGTTTTTGTTGAAGAATTGCAATGCATCACCAAGGTCAGCCGTGCGATACAGCTGGTTAAACTTGGGTTTCTGGTGACTTTATTCAATGGACACAACTGGCGCGAGAGGGGAAAAATTATTTATTTGGTTTTAGGAACATTTGGGAGCGGCTCCTCACTTCACATCAGAATGGTGATGGATGAGTTTGCCAACGACAACGACCACCATAAAAAAAACTCGGCGGCTTGCCGTTCTTTACACTCGTTGTAATCATCCTGTGCGGCTGGAAGCTGGAACTGAAAGCTCGCCGGGACGACGGTATCACTTGAGAACAGTGGGAGATGAAGGTGAAGGCGTCTGTCTTTCTTCTTCCATAGTCTTGTGTTTACTCTGATTCTTTGTCTGTCGTTTGCCTGTTGCTGGAGATTTAGAGATGTCGAGTACAGGAGTGTGCCGGTCACAGTCAATGACAGACGCTCATCCTCACAACAATTCATGTACAATTTAGAAGTTTGGTCTATTGATCAACAATTTCCACATTGCTGCCATAAATCTGGTTCAACTTGCCTGTGATGCCATTCTTGATTAGGAGCTTGACAGAACATAAGACTTGTTCAACTTGACATAACTTCTCATGATTGCTACTTGATACCTTGATCCTCAGAGCCCTCAACTGAGAACTGTGTGAAGCCTGACTGAGCCACAGATGCGTCAACAGCTTGGCCATGATTCCCTCCCGCAGGATTTCTTGGTGTAACTACTATATCTCTGACTGACTGGCTGGCGACCTACCTGCCTCCATGTCGTCTGTTCCCCATTTGTCGACGGACCTTTCAGTCGAGGCTAGATCGGAATAGAAAAGTCCAGTTTGGATCGGCGATCTCGTGTGGCGCCTTGGGCGCTCAGGGACGAAGACCCTGTCCGTGCTGTCCGTGCTGGCGCCGGTGTTGGTGTTGAAATTCTCAGGATAGCGCAGTGTGTAGGTGGGACTGATTGATTACCTTACTCGCAACGTGACGTGAGTAGGTGATGTACGGAGTACATGGGATCCGTATCGTTTACCTAAAACTTGATGCTGAACCAGAGACCCTGGATTCCCATCTCGTACCGTCTTCGGGTGATCTTCATTGCCGGGTTGACTCCCCGTCACTAGATCGAATACAAAGAGGACCCTGAGCCTGAGGCGGAGATGAAATAGAGACGAGGAAATGACTGTGCACATGAGATGAATGTCACTGGTTGCCATTCTCCCGGCTGATATTGACAATTTGACGCCTTTCCTCTCCAAATATTGGCATTGGATTCGGCTGGTCAAGTCAAGGTCTCGGGGAAAAGATAAGCTCTTGGCTTGGTAGACTAAAAAGCATTGTTGGTTCATCCGAGAGGGCCTGCTAGATCACAGCCGGGCACTTGTTTATTTCGTTTTAGTTCAGCCAAACCCAAGATGAAACACGGTGAACTGAGTTTCTCATGCCTTGCATGGAGTAGTAGCTCACAGGCTAACAAAAGCTTCAGTATCGCAAAATTCCTAAGGTGGTACCTTGATGTAGCCAAGCTTAGGTGATGCCCAGGAGGCCCACAGAGAAACCAGCCTAAAACATCTACCACCAAATGAATTAGCTTGGCGCTATCAATATCTCCTCTTACACCACACACCTCATCCCAATTCACCACCAAACTCCGCTACACTACTCCGTACACCACATCAAATGTCCGCTCCAAATTAAAAGTACGCCAGAGGCTTTCTTCAAGCCTTTCACCCCGTCTTTAGAATAACTGCTAAGTTACAGTTAGAACTATCCTTCAGTTCTCATTTCTCAGCCTCTAAGTTAGCTGCCTGCCTGCCTGACTGGGTGCAACTCCCGTAGACCAGTGCCTGGTCAACGGCCACTGTTCTATCAACCATGTCTTCTGAAAAGCTCAATGTCATTGCTCTTATCTCGGGAGGCAAAGATAGCTTCTTCAGCCTGATCCACTGTATCGAGCACGGCCATCAGATCGTTGCTCTTGCAAACCTGTTCCCAGGACCAGCACCGGACTCAAGTCCTGCTATTTCAGGCGGGCAATCACCGTCCCGCCAGGGAGACGCCACCAAGGCTGAACCAGAAACCAATCTCCAGACACCCTCGGATCGCCCATCTCCCGTGGGCTTCCAGCGCATCGATCCGGGTAGCTGGACACCCCAGCCGCCTGATCCTGCCACATGGGATCATAACAGCCTTCGGGAAGCCCAGGGCTCCGGGGAATCTTCCGACACGGACCTCAATAGTTTCATGTACCAAACCGTCGGGCACGAAGTCCTCCCCCTGTATGCCGATGCAACTGGCCTACCGTTATATCGGCTACCCATCACTGGACGTGCGGTTCGCCATGAGAGGGACTACGATGCCGCGGCTGCTAATGCCCAGGACGAGGTCCAGGACAGTGACGAGACGGAGTCCATGCTTCCCTTGTTACAGTCCATCATCGCCCGCCATCCAGAAGCGAATGCTGTATGCGCCGGTGCCATCCTCTCCACCTACCAGCGCACCCGTGTTGAGTCAATTGCACTGCGCCTAGGTCTCGTGCCCCTGGCCTACTTATGGCAGTATCCAGTCTTACCACCCCCATCCGCAGCCATCTCAGCCGATACCCAGTTATTGATCGATATGGCCAATGTTGGGCTAGAGGCGCGGATCATCAAAGTTGCCAGTGCTGGGCTAGACGAGAACCATCTCTGGGAACGTGTGTCAAGCGAAGCAGGCTCGAGTCGTGTCAAGAATGCATTACGCAAGTTTGGCTCAGCTCAAGGTGCGGCAGCCCTAGGAGAAGGTGGTGAATTCGAGACACTAGTTCTGGATGGCCCATTTTCCGTGTTCAAGAAGAGAATTGTTGTCCCGGAACAAGGGCGTAGGATAGTGCGTGAAGGAGGTGGTTGCTCATGGCTTATGTTGTGTGGTGCGCGTTTAGAAGACAAGCATGATGCTGCAGCCAAACCAGCAGCTCGGATCCCTAATCTCCTCGATCCTCACTTCAAGACCGTATTTGACGACCTGCCGCAACCCATGAATGAGTTGAAGGCCGCAAAGGTTTCTACTATTTCAAGGAGTTTGACGTCACTACCCCAAAATGCAGGAACCTTCACTGCTGATGGCGAGGTTCTGCGTTGGTCCGTACTTCCAGACCTGGGGTTGTGTGAAATGCCGATACAAAATGAAACCATCCAGGTCGTAGAGAAGATCAGAGATTTGGCGGCAGGGGCCGGTGTTCAACTCTCTCAGATCACAAGTACCATCGTCATCTTAAGGCGTATGTCAGACTTTCCTAAGGTTAATGGCGAGTACGGCAAGATATTCACCAAGCCAAACCCACCGTCGCGAGTGACCATTTCGTGTGGTGACCTCCTGCCGGCTGGTGTGAATATTGCCATCTCCTTAGCTGCTCCTAAACCTAGAGCGACACAGGACCGCAATGGTCTCCATGTCCAGTCCAGGTCATACTGGGCACCTGCAAACATCGGCCCCTACAGTCAGGCAATAGACGTGCCCGTGACAGCTCAAGGCCAGCCTACAGGTCTTCGGTGCATCTCCATTGCCGGTCAAATACCCCTGATTCCAGCAACAATGGTCCTCCCTTCCACGCCTGAGAAGTCACATGAGCTTCAAATTGTCCTATCTCTACAACATTTGTGGCGAGTTGGTCAGGAGATGAAGATTCAGTGGTGGACAAGCTCAGTTGCTTACTTTCCCCGTGCCAACTCGTCCGAAATCCAGCGCAGCGCCCAGCTGGCAGGGTATGCTTGGAAACAAGCACACGGATCCCCGGATGAGGAGGTGGACGGTGATAGCGGTCCTGATCTTTGGGACTTGAAATACAATCCTGCTTATATGTCGCTTGGTAACGATGACAAGACAGCCCGAAAGACCCTTCCGGACTGGGAGGCACTGACTTTACGTCAACAGAATGAGCCTGAGACTTGTATCCCGCCTATGTTTGCTGTTGAAGTGGAAGAGCTGCCACGGCAGGCTGCTGTGGAGTGGCACGCTCACAACGGTCTTTCAAAAATCGAAGAGTCCAGGTTTTCGATGTGTTGCTTGCCTAAGCTCACGCTTCCAGGCTGGAAAACATGGCATTCAGTCGTCACAACCACCAGTGCCACTGTAATCTACAGTACGGCGGTATATTATCATGCTGATAGGCCTCATTCTGCTTCCCTGGACATCTTGAAGATCGATATGTGCAAAATCATGCAGGAATCACTTCATCAACTCCACCCTCATGGGCCAGAAACGGTACAAACCAAATTGACTTTGGTGTATGCAGATGCGTCTCGAATTGTTTCCATATGGAACAACCTGGGAGATAAATGCGAAATGGCACTTATCCCGTGCCGGTCAATCTGGTCGTCTGATGGACAAAGTGTTGCTGTTGTGGGCTTATTTGAAACAACCGTCATACGAGGACCATGACTCCATTACTGATTGTATGAATGCATTTACAAAAATTTACAACTTTCAAACGTCTTCTATGCCCAATACCCTCTTGTCCACAACCAAACTTGTACAATAGGCCAAGATATCGGGCCAAGCCAGGTCTCAGAGGCAGCTCCTTGCCTAGCAAGCTGAAACGAGGACGTTTGACTGGTTTACAGAATACACAGCCAACACTACCCGATGTCGCCTCCAATCTGCAACATAATCCTATTCCGCAATATTTGTTCCTAAGCACTGACG